ATTCGCATTGTGTTAACTATCGAATCTTCAAACATTCTTTATGTTTAGAAAGATACTTAATCGATCTCATTAAAAGAGATCGGACAATATTAAGTCGTTTTCGCTGTGGCAATCATTACCTGCCGATTGTAGCTGGTAGATATTCAAATACTCCAAGGGAAATGAGGCTATACGCTGTGCAATTTGCAATCACTTGGGGATGAGTTTCATTACTTGTTTGTATGCCCTACCTTACGTTCAGAAAGAAAATTGTTTATTGATAAATATTTTATTGTAAGACCAAATACACTGAAAATGGGTCAGCTTTTTAACTCCAATAATGTACAAACACGTTTAAACTTAGTAAAATTCTGTCGAAAAATAATGCTTCGTTTTCATTAATTTAAGTATGTGCAAAAACATGTAATGAGTTCAATATTAACTTTATGTTTCTCTTTTTTGTCTTATATCAATTTATTAAATTGATATCAAGAATATTTTCAGTAATTCATTAATTCAGATATCAATTTACTGGAGCCAGTAAATTTCTTTTTCAATTGCTTCCATTAATTTCGTCATTAATTATCGTTTTAATTAATATTATCGTTTTGTTTTTGATTATTATTATTATTATCATCATCAATATTGTTATTATCATTATCATCATAATTTTTCTCACTATTGTCGATAGTGTTATTTTGTATGGATTAACATTAATTATATTTGTATTGTATATTTCACAGTGTTTAATTGACAAATTCAAACTGATTGTAAACTTCTCCAATACCCCAATGTGGGTGACATGAGAATAAATTGTCATTGTCATTGTCATTGTCATTGTCATTACTGGACCCCCAGCTGAAGCTCATTGTGACGTCATTTACCGTGTTTACACAGTGATCCGCATCGAGGGTTGAAGCCGGGGTGGTATTCTGAACATTGTTGTAAGTTTTGTGTTATCTTTTGTTGTATCTTCCAGAGATAACACAGCGCTAATATTGTTGTCAGTTGGTATTCTGAACATTGTTTTATCCCTGTGTTATCTCTTGAAGGACCGCCTCTATCTTATCTTTGACCATTGATGACACGCCCATTTTTATGGACCCTACCAATCAAAATCTATTTTATATAAGCATGATAAGTAGATCAACCAATAGGAATACTTTATGCCATATCTGAAGATGCGCCTAGCGCATACTAATCTTGGGCGTAATTAGTTATTTGAGCACTTATTACGCGCGTCATCATTATGCGCTGTTGAATGTGGATCATGAAGACAAATCACGCTTTCACTATATTGGTTAAGATGAGAGCATTAAAATAGTCCTATCCTAGCATTTAATTTCTTAGAAAGTTCTCATCTTTGATGTTTCCGGTCAACACATTATCTTCTTCTAACTCGTCTATTGGCACAAAGTTGGTTCTGGGCAAGAAATATTGCCGCCATTATATCACCACGAAAGATACAACAACCCCCTACCTGTTGTAAATATTGTTGTAAATACCATGCAAGATAAGATAAGATAAAAGATACAACAACTTTCAGAATACCAATTATCTCGACATTTATCTCCCGTGCGCATATGCAAATGAGGATTAAGCGCCATGTTATTACTAATAAGCACAATTACAAGCGCACCAAGCTATGAGCGCAGGCGCGGCCAATGAGATGAGAGAAAAGATACAACAAAAGATAACACAAAAGTTACAACAGTGTTCAGAATACCAACCAGGATACACCAGTTTACAGTTGTGTGCGCCATTTTAAACAAAGCCAATGACCTAGAGGTCATGTATTTATGCGTAAATTAGGATTGCGCCCATGCAAATTTTGATGATATCACTGCCCTACGCGCTGCGTTGTGCGCGCACATCATCATTTGCATGGGCGCAATCTTAATTTACGCATAAATACCACTGGTCAAAAGTTATTGGCCCCGCTTCCGGGGCCACTGACCCCGCTTCCGGGGCCAGTGACCCGAGATCAACTGTCTGCGCATGCGCACTGATACAACTGTAAACTGGTGTATTGAAGCCTCTAAAGCGCGCAAATGTGATCGTGTTTACACAGCAGGAAAAAAAAGGCGGCTTCAACCCTCGAGACGGATCACAATGACGTCACAATGCGGGGAATTTTACCTACATCAGCTTCAGCTGGGGGTCCAGTGACATACGCGCGGCCTATTTATACTTTTAAGGTTGCGCTTATAAAAGGAAAGCTATGCGAGCATATCAGTACTACCATTTTCATTGGCTGCTCACGTCGGCCCACCGGCTTCAACCCTCGAGGCGGATCAGATCCCGTTTACACAGCATAAAATTGCAGGGTTGAAGCCGCGAGGTGGGTTGAGACCTGCAATTCTGGTGGATTCAAGAGGCGGATTCAACCCGGCTTCAATCCTCACTGGGATCCCGTTTACACACATAAAATTGCAGGCTTCAACCCGGCTTCAATCCCCTCGCGGCTTCAACCCGGCTTCAACCCTCGATGCGGAACACTGTGTAAACACGGTAAATGTGATCCGTCTCGAGGGTTGAAGCCGCCTTTTTTTTCTTGCTGTGTAAACACGATCACATTTGCGCGCTTTATAGAGGCTTCAACCCCCTCGCGGCTTCAACCCGGCTTCAATCCTCGAGGCGGATCACTGTGTAAACACGGTATGTGTAAACACGGTAATTGTGAGAGGATTGGAAAGCGTGTGTATTTTTTGTTATAGGGGTGAGAAGACATGAGCCCCTAAGATTGACAAATGTTGCTGAAATGACATGATTTTCTGGTATTTGTTCTCAATTTTGTTGCAAGTCATATACCTTTGTATGCGTTTGTTGAAAAATTAGAAATTCCCGAATTTATACAGTCGGACGAAAAGGCTTCATGTCAGGGCCTGCAGAAACGGCTGGGCTCGGGGGCTCGAGCCCCCCTCACTTTTTGAAAAAGTATGTTACAGAGAAACAGAAAGAAGAGAGAGAGAAAAAATAAGTGAACTGCCAATGTCACAAATTAGGTATCAAAATATGCTCATCTGACCGTAATTAAATGCCTAAAACCCCAGAGCTTAAGGGGGCTCCGTCCCCGGACCCCACCAAGGACCCTAAGACGGATGCTCTTCTGACCGTAATTAAATACCTAAAAAAAAACAGCTTCAGGGGGCTCTGCCCCCTGGACCCCACCAAGTGCCCTAAGACAGGCCCCTGGATGCTCATCTGACCCTAATTAAATACCTAAAAAACCCGAGCTTCCGGGGGCTCTGCCCCCTGGACCCCACCAAGGGCCCTAAGACGGGATGCTCATCTGACCGTAATTAAATACTAAAACCCCTGAGCGTCAGGGGGCTCTGCCCCATGGACCCCCACCAATGGCCCCATGAGCCCCTTGACCCGTTGTACCGATTACCGACAAAACATGCCATCCATTATTACCGACAAATATATTAATGCCAATGTCCCAATGTCTACAAATTTAACCTCATAAACCCGGAGCCAGGTACTAAGATATTTTTCAGTTTCCTCCCATGCACGAAGCGCGGAAGCTTTGACACTTCATTAAGTTATTAGAGAAAGAAGACGATTCGTTGTACCTTCTCGACTTTTAATCCTTGTCTGAATTCAGTTTCCTCGACCCGCGCTTTGCGCGGGAGCTTTGACATTTCATTAAATTATTAAAGAAAGAAAACGAGTCGTTGTATCGACTAATCATTGTCTGAATTTTCAAAAAACTTCTGCATTGATATTGAACACGAGGATTGAGCAAGAATACCGGCACAGCGGACCCGACACAGCAAATTATTATCTATGCGTATCTTTCTTGCCCCCTCGACGTGGTGACTCCACCCAACATCCCTCTCTCACTCTTCCTCCCACCCCTCTTCTGTCAGGCTCTACCCCCTTCTCTCTCTCTCTATTCTGTTTCACCCCCCCCCGTTTCTTTTGTTTCCTTTTTCTCTTCTTTTTATTTCTTTTCTTTCTTTTCCTTTCTTTCCTCTCATTCCTCTTTTTCTTTTTTCTTTCTTCTCTTCTCTTTCCTTTATTCTTCTTTCATTTTTTCTTTCCCTTTCCCTCTCATTTTTCCCCTCCCCCTTTTCTCATTTTTCCCGACAGCAGCGCAATTTTTCCGACAATATCCCGACAGGTGGGGGTGTCGCACCCCAACCCCCCCCCCCCTCTTTTAGCGACGCCTCTGGTTGTTATCCCATTTATTCTTTTAAAAGAAATGCCACTCCTCATGCTCTCTTACCTCTCTTCTATCGTTGTTGAATTCCCTTTCATCTTTGTTCTTTCTCCTTTTACTCACAACAATTCTCTCTTCAGTCCCCCTTTTTTCCATCTCTTTTTTTTTTTTTTTTTTTTTTTTTGGGGGGGGGGGGGTTGGGGCTACACGCCTGGCAAGAGGGACCCCATATTATGCACACTGCAAAACTGCGTGCCCCCGCCCCTTTCCCGGTAAAAAAACACCTTATAATATTATCCCCCTTTCTTTCTTTCCCCTTCTCATTATTCTCCTTTTCCCCCTTTTCTCTCCTCCGTCTTTCCATCTTTTCTCTCCTCTCTCTTCCCCTTTTTTTCTTTTCTCCCCTTTTGTCTCCTCCCTCTTTTTTCTCGTTTTCTCCCCTTCCCCCCTTTTTTTTTTACCGGGGGGGGGGGGATGCACGTGTCCCCTGTGCCTCCTGAATCCGGCACTGAGAATAATTCAGTGCACTAGAATTATGGTTCATTGCAATATTTAGAACTTAAAAAATCAACAAAAATCGGTATGAAATGTGCGCCATTTTTCAAACGTCAAGAAAAAGTCCTCCACTTTTCCCCCTTCTCTCTTTTTTTTTCTTTCACTTTCGAGTCTCTCTTCCCTCTCATTCTTTCTCTCTTTCTCCCTTTCACTACCTACTTGTCTCCACTCCCCTCCCCTCTCCCTAAACATTCGAATCCCCCCCCCCCCCCTCGTTCCGTCATCCCCGACACTCCTTGCATACTTAACTACTTTGATCAGTATCTTTTATCTAAGAAAATGATCGCACAAGAACATCGAAATTCCCGCCACATTTATTCTTTATTTCTAGGAAGCTGAATATGCTTTATCATAGTAAATTATCAACAAAGACGTCATTTTAAATTAATGAAAAATAAAATTTCACATTCGAGTATGAGAAAGGCTTATCATTTTGAGTTAATTTCTCTACTGTTAAACTATATAGAAGTACGCATTCAATATATAGGCAAATCTTTTTTCAATGTATCTTCTACATAGATTTGTGAAGAAAAAATTAATCCCAGTTAATGTCCAACAAATAAGACCGACAATTAATTCTCAATCTGGTAAGGATCTTTAGCCAACTTCGTAATGTAATTAGACCTAATGCATTCGTCCACAGCCATAATTATCTAGGTATAATGACGCCAGGGCAACACTGCATTTGGGCACGGCCCAGCCAACTACTAATATAATATATCTCCTTAGATTTACAAGAGAGGTGGCAAAGCAAGTGAGCGGTAGATTTCTGCATTTCAACCGGCCCTCGCAAATGCATTTTTAAATGAAAACTTACCAAGAAAGAGATTTATAAGGGAGCACTGCCATCGAGCAAAAAGTGATAGCAAACTGTATAGTGCTACTATAGCCTTGAATTTAACAGTGTATTAAAACATTGCATTGCATTAACGGTGCATGCATGCGCGAAGAGGCTTCATACGCTAGATACGCTAGGTAGGTGCAACAAGTAGTATACCCATGTTTAAGAAAACAATTAATACACTGGTCGTTCATGTCAGGCAAGACTGATTTTTAAGTGCATGAAGGCACAATAGGTACTTTTCATGAAGTTGAAAGAAAAAAGAGTTTCATACCTAGAAGGATCATTACTCTTGAAACAATACATAAATTATTAGTTTAAAAGACAAAATAGCCAATTAAGCCCTTACTTTTCAATTATTGAAGGCAATTCTTATATACAATCTCATGATACCATTTCATACAAGAATGCTCTTCTAGGCTTATACAGAATACAAAATGAAATAAATAATAAATCGTCACCACAAGTTATAGTATGCAAATCCATATAAAGACATAAAAAGTGTTATTTTGATAAACATTTTAGTTTTCAAATATCATTGTTAGTCTCAATAAACCAAAGACAAGTTATTAGTTTCGATTTGACCACAGTCGTGATTGTATGGTCCTAAATGATAATACAGGGTATTCTATAAATTGCAAGGATAATGTTAAGTAATTGTCAGCCCAGGGACAGACTACATGAGACATTCTAAATATCTGCATGGTGTTGTGTAAACGTACGTGCCTTCAAGGAGCTTGACCATTTTTTTTCATTGTGCATGTGACAACACTAGGGGACCAAACACCAGAAAATTGTATATTGTGAAATTTTGGTATAACAATTTGAAATAGGCCTCTTTTTTAGAAGTCTATACTTAAAGCTGATTAATTTTGAATAGCATGATGGGGGGTGGGGGTGGGTGCATGTCCAGACACTTAACAAACATAAAGTCTTCTCTTATGAAATACTGCTTATAAACTTCTTCAAAGGTCTGTTTTAATTAACTGTCCGGATACACAACCAGTCCGGACACACAACGTCTTTGTATATATTGTGCAATTTTTGTATAACGATTTGCAAGAACTCTCTTCTTAGAAGTCTATATTTAAAGTTGATTAATATTTTATAGTACAGGATGTTATGACGGAATCATAAACATCAAAATTAAAAACTGTTTTGGTGATGAGACCTGAATTCAAGTTTGGCCTACCAATTAAGTAGACTGTAACACGGCCTCTAGTTTATAAATTGTTTAAACATGATTTAGACTCGAGTCAGCGTAGGGTATAAATGAACTACCCGTAGTAGATACAGGCAGAAGATTTTTTTTTCTCAAATTAGTGATCAGGTTTCCTCTAAGGTCGTCTTGGTTGCTAAAAGCTTTAGAAGGCCTTGATGAATTCAGCTGATTCATTGACCTCGGCAACGACAGAGATGGGCAACCAAGGTGTCTCAGTCTTGTTCAGGTAATTCTGTTGAGAGAAAATATAAGAAATGATGGCATGATGATACATGTCATACACAAAAGTTGAATTGAAATAAATTAAATTGATAAGGTTTATTGTGAATAATTAGAGATAACAGCTAGAAGCTCGCACATCTTGAATTAACAGCAGACCTGTGTCCCCTTTTTCTTTAAAAATGAGGGCCCCTTTTCATTTGTTTTTAATACTCTTCTTTAATTTTGTAATTCTTCTTTTCCTCCTTTTGTTTTTGTTCATTTTTTTTCTTTGTTTGTTTGTTTCTTTTTTGATTTTCAGATATATTTTCCGAATTGTACTCCCTTAAAATCCTGGATCCACCCTATACAAGATGGTAACTTACGCTTGCGTAGGATAGAGCATTCTTCCTTTCGTCAATGGTGGCTCCTTTGCCGACCCAACAGTAGACGTGTTCTCCAGTGTTAATCACATAGACATCCTGTAGTAGTCAAGATTGTTTGAAACAATGTGCAATGGCATATGTTAGGAACTTACAGTAAGAACTAAATTATTCATAATCATAATTTTATTTATTTTCTATATATTTTTGTTAATGTTTTTTTTTAAGCAACTGAAAGCCGCCTCGGATAATATGCAACAGGAGTTACATGCAGTTTTGGGGCATAAATGCATGTACCCATACCATAAGACAGGTTTTAATAGTGGATCTCTGACATCAACTCCTGCAGGGTCAATCATCAAGTCTTACATCATCTTACCATGCATACAGATAAATGCATGCCCAAAGCCTCCCGCTTCAATAAAAAATAAGAAAACATTGACGACATCTTGACATTTTTTTCATGAGCAGCTGTGTTGTTTACTTACATCGGATGTCAATTTATCCTTGCTGATTTCACCGTCCATTGCTTCCATGTCCAAACTGCCGTCAGCATCACTGATCCTGTAACAAAATGTGAATCAGGGTGATCAGAACAAAGTGTTCAAGAAAGGTCGGGTAAACTTAATCCAATAATTTTCAAGGATGGTCTTTGGATAAGGTTAATCTGCTTACATGTACATTTGTGAAAATATCCCCATACAATCAGACAATGACGGAGTGTCGATTGTTGCCTTTTTTTGGACTCTCATCTTGGTATTAAAAAGTGTCATGTCGAGTTTTTTGTAAATTTCCTGTAGGTTCTTCAGAAAGTGTTGGGTAAACTGGACCCAACACTTTGGTGATAAGAGGGATGTATTTAACAAACGTTACACCCGACCCTTCGAGCTTTAAATTATTTACAAAAGTTTGTGTGAGCAGAATTAGATGCGAAGATCCGATGGAACAAAATAAGCCCCAACAATACTATCACAACAACCACCAACATTTAACACAACCCCTTCAAAACCAATATCATGGGTGTGTTTCATGAAACCGTTTTAAGTGATTCCCTGACATCCCATTGAAATGCTATTTAAATTATCACGCATTTCACTTGGATACCAGCAAACTTGTGCTTGATGACGTTTTTGTGAAACAATTAATGCCCAGCCATCGATCTTACCTGAACATTTTCCTCTCCCCCTGCACTGCACTTGTCTTAGCCTTACTCTCGCCGTCTTTAAGGGGTGCGAAGCAAGGATGATCCTCGGAGGTGCTGCTCTCTTCGAGGGTTTCAACACGGCACTTGCCTCGTGATCCCTTGATCTTAGCTGCCTCCTGAGCAGCCTGAAACACAAAAATAATAGGAGCATGAATGGCATAGCTAGTTGAGACTGATAGTTACGACACCAGAGTTCATTCCATGTTGGTCAGTCATTTCATGGAGAGTCAAACATTTCTCTCCCATAGAGATTGTACATGAGAAGGAACAATCGGAAAGTCCATCATGATCTATCAAAGATTTCTCTCCCATAGATGATAGAGATTACATGAGAATTAAGGAACAATCGGAAAGTCCATGATCTAACCCAAGACTATGGTAGACGGTGATATCCAGTACATGTTAGCCGTAGCTAGATGAGAGAAAGTTACATCATCGGAAGTTGGTTCTGACTGGTAACTAATTTCACCCAGCCCTAAGTGGTTTCCTGCAGATTGTATTATGGAGCTAGGGAACAATGTGAAGCTTCATGATTTAACCTATAACTAGCTACCCTCTACATGTTACAACTAGACCCTATAACTAGCTACCCTATACATGTGCATTGTGTGTTACAACTAGACCCTATGTCTCTCTCTCAATACGCTATCAAATCTTGTCAACATTTTATTTTTAAAGACAGATCGAATCACCCTTATGAGCTTGGCCGGGAAGAAGGTCGATATAAAATCTCAAATTATTACCTTAAATTTTTCATCATGACTGCAGCTGGAACCGTTCCACTGGTAAATCATCGCTCCAAGATCCAAGATAAAGACATCACCAGACTTTAGATTACCTTTCTTCAGAGAGACCTGAATAATGGACAAAATAATAATAATAATAATAGTGGGTTCTTGTATAGCGCTCATGTCTGTCAGATTTGACACTCCCTGGCGCTCCACATGCAGTTACTACCCGGCTTAAACATGGCTACCATAATAGGGCACGAAATCATTCCAAGGAATTCCTGCCAGGTACCATTTTACTTCACCTGGGTGGAGTGTGGCACTATCGTAGATGAATGTATAGCTAAAGGACATTAGTGTCGTTATTTTTTTTGTTAGAACACTATTATCCAGGAAAGGAGGTACAGTTTGACTTGCAGGCCTTGATATTACTCCTTCCAGGCGCGGATCTACGGGGGGGTTTAGGGGGTTTAAACCCCCCCCCCCTTGGGCGGTCAAAAAAAAAAAAAAAAAAAAAGGGGAAAAAAAAGAAAAAAAAAAAGAAAAAAAGAAAGAAAAAAGAACGCACGCTGGAGAGAAACCCTTTCAAGTGCAAATATTGTGAGAAGATATTCAACTCATCTGGTAACTTAACCAAACACATGATAACTCTGGATATAACTGTGTATTAAACTGTTACTTGATTTAAAAAGACGTTATCATGCACTGCTTTTTATGGTCTCCATTGTGTTAATAGATGCCAGGAAAACATCACTTACGGGGTTCAAATAAACACCCCAAAAAAAATCGGCTCGCCGCTTCGCGGCTCGTGGACGATGCTCCGCATCGTCATTATTTTGGTCAAACCCCCCCCTTAGCAAAAAGCTAGATCCGCCCCTGCCTTCTGTCTGCAACACAGATCTGTAGTGTCCGTAACACTGGCTCCTACTCTTTTCTACCCTCGATATTGAAACTAAAACACAATGATGCATTTAATTTTATACTTTATTACATCTAACTAATATTGTTGAAATAAAATATTTTTAACCGCGAACCATGTGATCCACAGTACGTCACCGCGGTGACGTATCCACTAGACCACAACACCTCCACGTAAATACAAACAAAAATTGAATCAAAATTTGACAGGGGAAGCGGTAAGAGATGACAATGGCTTAATTTTTAACTTTATTTCAATTTGAACTTTGAGTTCTAATTCAATTAAAATGTTTATACCGATTCCAATTTGAAGTTTAGATTTCATTTTCTATTCAAAATTTAGTATCATTCTACTAGCATCTTACGATCAGAAAATTCGCTGATGGGAGTATATAGGCCATATCAAACCCAAACAAAATCCCGTTATTGGTATGAATTCAACTAAAATGATATTTTATTCACCTGAGTACTTGTGATTTTCTTGTCGGACCCTTTCTTCACATGGAAAAGACGCGGTTCGTATTGCTCTGGTAGTACACGTCTAAAACCAGTGTCAGCACCACCCTTTAGAAGCCTGCACAATTGACAGAAAACAACAAATAAATAGGAAAACAATTTAGGAGACTATAGTAGCTAATACAATCAATATCTTTATCATAATAAAGTTATCTATTGATGTGATACAGATTACACAATTATTAATATTAGCAGTCGTAGTAGTAGCAATTGGTAGTCAAATAACAGTATTATTATTCTTATCATTATCATTATTTTATTATTATCACATATATTTTACATGTATGATAATAGTACAAGGTTTTGGGGCCTTTCGACGCCGTAAATTTTCATGTACTGGAGCATATGAGAGATCCCAGGAGGTTGAGGATAGACTAAACCATAGCGTATTAAAAGAGATAGTTGTGACATGCGCATCTTCACGTTCGCAAGAGGGGTCGTAGGTTTAATCATGTTGCTCTTTCACTTACAATCTCTATGAGAGGGAACTATTTGGAGCTTTATGAAATGACGGACCAATCAGAAACAACTTCCGGTATACCTACCAGGTATAAGTATCTCTCTCAAGTATAGCTATGGCCTGAAAGAAGGTAACCTACCGGGTAAGTATCTCTCTCAAGTATAGCTATGGCCTGAAAGAAAGTAACCTACCGGGTAAGTATCTCTCTCAAGTATAGCTATGGCCTGAAAGAAGGTAACCTACCGGGTAAGTATCTCTCTCAAGTATAGCTATGGCCTGAAAGAAGGTAACCTACCGGGTAAGTATCTCTCTCAAGTATAGCTATGGCCTGAAAGAAGGTAACCTACCAGGTAAGTATCTCTCTCAAGTATAGCTATGGCCTGAAAGAAGGTAACCTACCAGGTAAGTATCTCTCTCAAGTATAGCTATGGCCTGAAAGAAGGTAACCTACCGGGTAAGTATCTCTCTCAAGTATAGCTATGGCCTGAAAGAAGGTAACCTACCAGGTAAGTATCTCTCTCAAGTATAGCTATGGCCTGAAAGAAGTTAACCTACCAGGTAAGTATCTCTCTCAAGTATAGCTATGGCCTGAAAGAAGTTAACCTACCAGGTAAGTATCTCTCTCAAGTATAGCTATGGCCTGAAAGAAGTTAACCTACCAGGTAAGTATCTCTCTCAAGTATAGCTATGGCCTGAAAGAAGGTAACCTACCGGGTAAGTATCTCTCTCAAGTATAGCTATGGCCTGAAAGAAGTTAACCTACCAGGTAAGTATCTCTCTCAAGTATAGCTATGGCCTGAAAGAAGGTAACCTACCGGGTAAGTATCTCTCTCAAGTATAGCTATGGCCTGAAAGAAGGTAACCTACCGGGTAAGTTTCTCTCTCAAGTAGAGCTATGGCCTGAAAGAAGGTAACCTACCGGTTGAGTATCTCTCTCAAGTATAGCTATGGTCTGAAAGAAGGTAATCTACCGGGTAAGTATCTCTCTCAAGTAGAGCTATGGCCTGAAAGAAGGTAACCTACCGGTAAGTATCTCTCTCAAGTAGAGCTATGGCCTGAAAGAAGGGAAGCTACCGGGTAAGTATCTCTCTCAAGTATATAGCTATGGCCTGAAAGAAAGTAACCTACCGGGTAAGTATCTCTCTCAAGTATAGCTATGGCCTGAAAGAAAGTAACCTACCAGGTAAGTATCTCTCTCAAGTAGAGCTATGGCCTGAAAGAAGGTAACCTACCGGGTAAGTATCTCTCTCAAGTATAGCTATGGCCTGAAAGAAGTTAACCTACCAGGTAAGTATCTCTCTCAAGTATAGCTATGGCCTGAAAGAAGGTAACCTACCGGGTAAGTATCTCTCTCGAGTAGAGCTATGGCCTGAAAGAATGGCCTGACACCTCAATCAGGAAAAATGAGCCCAGAATAACAAAGTTCTGTTTGTTTACAAAAATGCTTGCATTTCCATAATTTGATTAAACGAGTTCGTTTTCACTGGCTGCCTGCCGTAGCAATAAACAGAGTTGACAAAAGACTAAACTCTGTTTCGTTGAAGATCAGCCATGCATCAGGTCTTTCGTCTTTTTTGTGCATGGCTGATCGTCAACGAAACGGAGTTAAGTCTTCTGTCAACTCTGTTCGTTGCAACGGCAATAAGCCAGTAAAAACGAACTCGTTTGATTAAATTATGAAAATGCAAAATGACTTTTCGGTTTCCTCTCTTCAAATTGCTTTTAATCACTAATGCGTGAAATGTGCATCGTATGAGTTGCACCAAATGAAAGAGGAGGATCTAAGCTTTCCAAATATGTGTCATTGATTAATTATTATTGTGATTAAGTTATGATAAACATCCGTTTTCTGGGACGCACTGTATAAGGTGGTCCCTATGGGTACATTTTCCTTGCTCATCCCCCCTCCTCTTTCTCTCTCTCTCTTTTTCTCTAGGCTCTCTCTGTCCTCGCTTTATTTCCCCTCTCTCTTTCCATTTTCTCTGATGTTAGCTATTTTATTACAAAAATATGGTAGCGGCAATCTTGATATTTTGAAATGTTTTTTTCATCTGCTCTAGCTGCCAGTAGATTTCCAAAGTTCTCATTATATAAGTAGTAGTAGTAGTAGAAGTATCTTCGCATTATAACAATTTTTATCATCATCATAGTCATGATTATCATCAATATTATCATCACTAGTAATCATTAGGAAGAAACAAATAAAATCTTACATGAGGGATGCGAAATAGGACTTGAAGAGCGCACTTTCGTGCCCTTGAACCTCTCTATGCTGAATGGGTTTATCATCCAAAAGTGTATCCAGCTCAACGGTCTTGTATGCTGCTGTACCATACTCATCCTACACATTTACAGAGAAGGTGGATTTTAAAGGAAAAGGTAAAAGGGGAAAAATGAACCCAAGGGCAGTTCAATACCCTATAACTTGTACATCCCACAGAAATGATGTTCAGATTACGTAATACATCATATGTTTATGGTTTTCTATTTGAAGATCGTTGAGAACTGGTCATGCGACTGCATGTGAAAGAAACTGTCAGGTTGTTCAGAAAAGTTGATTAAGTATACTCAGAAAGTTCTGTGAGGTGTTGGTTTCAACATTCATAACAAATAGACCTAATCTTACTCAGAATCATATGACACTGCACATAGATCATATTGGTTTGTTCTTGGTGATGAAAATAGTAATACAGTACTTAAATATATTTTGAATAACAACGTTTTCTTGCAAAGAAATTGTTTGAATGCAGCATTCATAACACCCTAAGATCATGGTTTGTACATCATGTACCAGTAAACTACACTTGGGTGGAGAAAGACAACTGTAAATAAACTGCCTTGTCTCACAATATACACATGAGTAAGGATATGAACCCTAAAAATATCAATTAGAATTGCACATCAGGGAATAAGGGAATGGAGTACAACAGTGCTGCCTCTGCATTAGGACAAAAGAAACTGCCATTTTACAGATTTAACCAACCTGCGTGGAATATTTTCCAATCCAGAAGTGGACGTCATACTTCAGCGCATCACCCTCTGGATCTTTCTATAAAAAGAAAAGTGAAAAAAAAAAAGCGATGGATAATTGGAACTCATAGTTATTCATCGTTAAGGTCAGCTTTATCCATCCCTTTCACACAACATTATGTCTCATCAATCCTATTCCCATAATCTCCAGTGGCTTATCTAGACATTTATCTCAGGAGGGAAAAAACCTCACAAGTTACTGTGATGCATATACTTCTAGATCTAGTATAAAACAATTCACTTTTTCAGGACCTTAGTTTGCATTATCAGGTTGGAGGGATCACCTTTAATGAATGACATATTTTGAAACTATCATTCATTTTGTTTGTTTCTTGACTTGAATGATTCCCAAATCTGTTCACTAAAACAAAACTAAAACGTAAGTTCTTCCAGAGCAACTGTTCCCAATTTTCATAACCACAAAGTTTTGTACAAAGTTACTTTAATAGAAGGGACTGTACCTGTGATTTACAATTGTTTGAAAATCAGAGGTATCTATCAAGTCATGCTTTAATGAGCACGCTTTAACGACAAAATGACTACGTTTCAAAATTAAGATTATCATTTCCTTAGTGTGATATGACAGACAGTCAAATTCATGACTGCCGGCGCTGTGTGTGCTTTAATTGGACTGCTTAATAATCTCTGTTTTTCTTTAAAGAGGAAGTCCATGCACCCTGATATCAAGTTGGTTTAAATAAAAAGCAGAACGATGAGGGAAACTTGTAAACTCTTACACTCCAGAAATAAACAGGTTGGTCTTAATTAAAATAAAATGATGTCTTGATTCGAACAGATCAAAATATAAGTGACATTATAAGTAGACTGAGGGGTCATTTACACAATAAAAAAGGGGTTAAACATGCACGTCAGGTGTGAATGGGCCTTAATTGTAAACTTACATAGGTATTGAGGATGATGTAAGAATCGCCATTGAAGAACTCTCCATATTGGTCCTTCTCCCAATTGGTAACCTGTTCATAGTGATAGCCAAGAGAATTAAAGATTATTATTTCTTTCATGTTATTCATATTGGCCCTTTATCTGACCTCTTAGACTTCTATTCATATCATGACTATTATTATCATCAAATACATGTAGACTACTTTCATCAACATAATCATCGTCATCATAAGTAGGCACATGGACATCATCCTCCTCATTATTTGTTTTAATTATTTTGTATTAGTATAAGTAGTAGAAGTAGTATTAGTAGTAAAAGTTGTAGTAGTAGTAGTAGTAGTAGTAGTAGTAGTAGTAGTAGTAGTAGTAGTATAGTAGTAGTGGTAGTTATAGTAGTCGTAGTATATAGTAGTCAGGATAGTTAGTAGTATAGTATTTTGTTGGTGTAGTTGTAGTATGTTTTGAGTACTTTTGATTGAGTAGTTTAAGTCCTGGATGTGCTTGTAGTAGTTGTAGTAGTATTATATTAGGCCTAGTAACAATGGTCGTAGTTGTTGAGGTGGTGTTTGAAGTAGAGTAGTATCTTAATGATTAATAATAAAGTAAATACTATTTTCAAAATTTAGTCTGGACCTAGTACCTTGAACTTGACGATCCGCCAAATCTGGAGGCCGACTTCCTGTCCTGCCCCCTCCCAGGCTGGTTCAGATTGTGCACTATCCTTCTTCATTTTCTTCTCAGTATCCGAACCAAAGAGTGCGAGGTTCGAATCCTGCCAGTCATACTTCTTCGCCGTCTGCATGTTTGCTAGTTGTTTTAGAAGTTATCTGTACCACAAAGAAGATTGATTTTTATTCTCAGTTTGGTTTATTGAAGAAAAGACAAACGCAACCATCCTGACTCATTATATTTGAGTTTTAGGTACTAATATAATATTGGATAGTGTAACTTTGTCTCAGATTCTGAAACAAAATCCTGGATTTAGCTCATGCTGCAATGATAATTATAAACCTTTAGGTCAGTCAGGAACCCCGTGACTTTTACAAGCCGATCGCCCATCTGATTAGTGTGACAAGTCGAAATGTTTCTTAATTCTATTTTTTGAGGAGGTCTCTGAATGTTGGGATCTATGTCTCTGAATAAGGAGATCCCTTTAGTGTACTTCTGAGGGGATCCCTAAAAGGAGAAGTCCACTTTGACCTTGAGTCAGAGAGGCTATAGGGTAATATAGAGAGAAAGGATTTTTTGCCACATCACAGGTTGAGTGGGATGAGCATAGACCATGCAATATGCATCTACTCATGACTTAGGCGGTTTGATTTGCCAGAGAAGCTAACTCTGAGTAGAACTTCATACTTAAAAGTATTTCTGCAGCATCTATGAGGTCTTACTTCATCATTTGGTTGGAGATGGCATTTGGTTGGAGATGGTTCTAGCTAGTTGGGTCTAATTCTAGTCTCGGTGTCTCAGTTTCTCCTCGAGAGCTCAAGAGGGGGTTGATCCATCCTCAAAATAATACCACATGAAACTCTGAATGACTTTGTCGTGTGTCATTTGTGCCTGCTGTTACATTAGCAAGATATTTATGATTGGAAATCGAAATCAAATTTTGCGTTTTCCTAACGGTTTTCATAACACTACAGTCCATTGGGGGAAACGAGTATGGAAAAACCGGTCACTCAACGTTGTTTACTTTTATGAGGCACTTCTTGATCATTTTGGAGCGCAATTTCTTTATTAGGGCCTCAATATTACACCACATCACAGACACTGATAACACGTAGCGCCGTGCATCTCAGAGTTAACATTGTTAAATGATACCTTAAACCAGGGGCGTACGCAGGATTTTTTTAAGGGGGGGTTTAAACAAAACAAAGGGGGGTTTTAGGGGGTTTTTCTTTAAAATACACACATAAAAAATGCCAAAGGGGGGGGGGGTTAACCCCCAAAACACCCCCCCCCCCCCTGCGTACGCGCCTGCCTTAAACTCAACTTAAGTTTACATTGACACAAGACTTTTTTTTTTTAATCACCACACATTGGGTCTTTATATAAGTGGAAACCTATTAGGAGGAAGGAAAATTAGATGAACAGAGGAAAAAGAGAAAGGGTTGAAGAAAAGAAAGTGCCTGTACGTGAGTATGTGCGTGTGTGTGCGTGTGTGTGTGTGTGCGTGTGAGGATGAGTGAGTTGCATATTGTAGTTGGTTTTGTTTGGGGTTTGGTTAGTATGGGAAGGGGTTATAATTTGTTTTATATTATTCATAGCTGATATCAATCAGTTTTTCTTCAATCGTAATTAATGAATTGCACGTGTATATCGAATTGATGTAATTATGTTATGATGATGAAAAAGCATTATTTTGAAGAATTATTTGTATTTCTTTTATATTGAATGAAATAAATCCCAATAAGCTTCATAATTCCGAAAGTAGTATAGGACTCATTATTAATTCCGAATGTTCGTAATGCTGTAAAAGAATAGAGAATTGTGAAAGAAAAGGTGTGGATTGGATCAGAAAAAGTTGATCATATAGCATGTAAGTATTGGTGTGTACTGCAAGTTTCTGGAGTCATCAAAATCATCCTAAATTTGGCCAAGTCTTGGTAAAGTAACAATCACTGTACACAGAAAGATGTATATGGGACAAAACAAATGGTGTCGGGGCTAGTACTACCTTGATTTCCTTATCTGTATATGCTCATTACTCAGCCAGTATACATTTTCTTCCAAAATTGTTTGGCACATGACATTTATTTGCAATCTTGTACATTCAGTGTAAGTTTCGTTAGATTCTGTGAGAATTCATTTTCTTTTTTTTTTACCAGAACTCATGTTTATCTTTAACACAGGTCACTTGCAAGGGCGTCAATCGGGGAGGGGGGAGACGAACCCCAATGATTTTTCCTAGGGGGGGGATCATAAAATGTCTTGTTTTGACAGAAAAGAAGGGGACCACCCATATTGTTTTTATTTATTTATTTTGTTTACCTAGCGCTCACACTACCCATCTGCTTATTCACCGGCTGTGCTCAAGCTAGGATCGACGTCCCACTTGTGAGCAAATGAGAGTTGTTGTTTTTATTGAAAAAAGATTTCCAGCAAGTTTTTGTGAGTTTGTTTTTATTTTTCTGGTTCAAATAATCAATCTACTGCAGGAAGAAGAAAAAAATCCAGAATGACTTCACGCCATGTTCTCTCAACATACAATTCCCATACTAGAGCTCAAGATAAGCCTTAAAGGTACTATGTCCCATTTGCAGGCCAAAAAAATGAAAAGGTTAAATTCCAACGACATTTGAAAGATAAAACTAATTTAGAACTTCCCAAAAAAGGTGGGGCATGAAAATGTCTTCAAGTGGGAAATTAACGACTATTAGTTGTCAAATCGACTTAAGAGCTATAGAGCCAATAATTAATAGTCTTGATTTTCAGACCATTGTACCGTATGGTCATACGTTTTATGCTGCGCAAAGTTTCTATCATTTTAATTTTGGCCATCACAAGAAGTGGGTTATTGATTTAGACAAATGCTCATGTACCCTTTTACAGCTCATTTTATGTATGTTATTACCAAAGAAAAAGAAAAAGCCAGTCAGTCACTCAATAGTGTCTGACAGTGAAGTGTAGCAAGTAAACGGGTTTCCTTGCATAATTTAAATATTAGGACACTGCTAACGTTTAAATTTCACAGATAGGATATACATGACATATTCATAATTTCTGCAAAGTTCTACAGAATTTGAGGTTGGCTGCAAAAGGGACATAGTACCTTTAAAGAGTAAGTGAGGTGTGTGAGAGCGGAAATAATTTGTGAGCTTTTTTATTCTTTACGTTAGTGTGGGAGTCATATCCTAGAAAAGAAATCTACTGAAATGATTGCTATTCAAATGCTATTGTATTCGCATTATGACAAGAATTGGCGTTTGGGCCAAACTTGTATGTAAATGCTGCGTGTTTGTTTGTGTAGTCTTATTTGTACATTTTTTGTGTACAGTAAGTTCATCTGACTTTCAACAATACTACGTCCATTTCTTTATCATTTTTTCATTTTTTCCAAAACTTCACAGCGTAAATTATTATGCGCCATTTATTTGTCAACATTTTCCAATTAGTTTCCAGATTTCACGATGCAATCGCATGATCAGAATCCAACTTTATCTTTAAGGTTGGCCATATCGAATAGAAGATATCAAATGTATACGGGTATGTAGTGACGAGAGCCACTCTCATAAATCGGCATACCCAATAATAGCATAGAAGCAGAAAGGAGGAAGTAATGTTTTTATTATTAATTTGCAAAATGACGTCCATATACGGTTCATAGTAATACATCGGCAATACACTGATACGGGAAATATATATGCACATACACACATACACACACACACACACACGACACTGGACTACAAAGAAGACTTTTTGTCAACAATGATTAACTCATTATGTACTTTAGTAATGACGTCACATTTAAAGATAAAACTTGGTTCAGGTCATGCAAATACATTCCAAGGAAACTCTGGAAGCAATGGATTTGGAAAGGTTGATCATGTTCTCATGGTAGTTCATAGGAATTGATGATAACGTGAGGTTTTGGCGTGATCAAGAGGAAAAAGAAATTGACTCGTGCACTCTTGTTGAATATCACTTGCATTGCACACATAAATGAACATAAGCTACTTACCAAAGAGTTTGGTTCAATTAAACTTATTCACCTATATCTCGTCACAATAAGGGAGTTTACAGATAGCACATGGTACAAATGACCCCAAATATCCACAGATCTTTTACACATGGAGAAGTTCCACTTTGAGCATCTAAGAATAATAACTGCCAAATTCCTAGATGTGCTTCATGAATACCTTTTGTTTGCCCTCTTGAAAAGAATACTTCCACCTGCGTATCTTAGAATGTACCATTAGTGCATAAATGAATAATGTTACATTTACTTTCATGAGCGCATATCCAGTATTCATCTCTGGTGGGTTTTACCTTTTTGATACAAATGACCTTTATCTGCCCATGCGCAGATTGTATCTTTAAACTCCCTTATTCGAATTAAAGGGCATTCGAAAAGCAATCCCTACTAGGATTCTTCAATTTAGTACAGTCAAGGAGTTTTAAGAAATGGGAGTCATATCGACCTCATTCCCTTTGTACCATCTTCGATGCCGCCATGAGAAAATATGTCGGGCATGTGCTTAATTGGATTTTCCTTGCAGATGCGTAGAAAAAAGATTCCTGCCTAGCTGCAAACGAACGGGCCACTTTCAAAGGGAAATATGCTTTTGTAATGTGTTTACTTTTCGCTACCACTCGTCTGATAATACGAGCAGGACACAGTGCATACCTTTACAGGAGGCAAGCGAAAGGAAATGGGGCAAAATTTCCTGAAATATCAAAAATTACTCGATTTTGCATACAGTGTGTGGCAGGGGCGGATCCAGCCGGCGGCAAGAGGGGGGGGGGGCGCAAATCTTGAGAAAATATTAAGCGGCGAATCAGCCAGCCGGCGATCGTCGAATGAGCGGGGGTGGGGAGGGGTGGATAGGAGCAGTTTTTTGGGAACTTTTTTTGTGCCGACTTAGCCGGCCGGTGAATATTAAAGCGGGGGATGCTGGAGAGGAGGACCACTAATTTCTTCTTCTTTTTTCGAGGGGGGGGGGGGGTGAAGCGCCGTTTTAGCATGACTTTCTTTTTAACTCTCACTTTTACCTATCCCAGATAACCCTAAGTTTTTTGTTGCTGCTTTATATGTAGTTGATAATGCATGATTAAAATAAATAGAGAGAGAGAGAGAGAGAACCACCATCATTATGCAATGGTTCAGGGTTTTTGTAATGTACATTTGAAACCATTTCTTAGCGTCTCAACCCTTAAAAAATAGCGAAACTATTTTGGAAGAAAAGCATTATACTGAACTGAATAAAGAATAATAACTTTATATTGGCTCATACTTATACTGATACGGGCTAAAGACAATGTGGTATCGGCACAGTAAGATCGGGTATTTGTATAGAAGTGTTCCAAAATGACATTCTGATAATCAACATTTTGTCCTGTTATCATATATATATACGAATTTATATACAACTGATCTTTATGATTTCTTAACGTGACACAGCTCCTTCTCCCCCTGCAAATACAAAAAGAAGACAAGGTTATTTATTAAAAGGATCATGCGACAAAATGATAATTGTGATTCAAATTAATGCAAGGATTTTGTTGAATAAGCAATGCTTTTCACCAGACTCTTCTTTGTAAAAACGACTTTTACTAATCTCAGCCATGCAATTCTGCCACTGTGTTGTAAGATCACTTTCAGATTAGGAGAAGTATATTCTTTGATGAGTATTTAAATTAAATGGAACGTCTCAACTCAGTAAGCATGGCTGAGATTTGTAAAAGTTGTTTTTACAAAGAAGATTCTGGTGAATAGCAGTGCTTATTCAAACAAATATTCGCATCAATTTGAATCACAATGATTATTTGTCGCTTAATCCTTTTTAATGACCTTGTTTTCTTTCTCGTTTGCAAGGGAGAAGAAGATTTGTCAAGTTAAAGACATCATAAAGATCAGTGTTGTATGCGTATATACACAGGCCCCGCGGAACGTTTATCAAAGTGCGGGGGGGGGGGGCTAAAGTATTTATGATCATGTAGAGGGTAGCGAGCGTAAATTGGTGTGGGGATTCAGGGGGCGGAGCCAAAGGAAGCTCAGGGGTTTTAGGCATTTAATTACGGTCAGAGAAGCACAAATATTTTGATGCCGCATTTGTGTCACTGGCAGGAATACAGTGGGTGTGTCACGCCCAAGCTTCTCCAGCCTGACGCACAGTGTTGCATTTCTTTTTCTCCTTTTTTTCACTACGGACGGGTTGACGCTCAGAATATTACACAAATCAAACCGAGATTGCTCCGAGATTATTACTAATCTGCACTGATAACAAGTTCTGTTCAGTGTTAATAATTTTCAGCTCGTCAAGCTTGTTAAGATTTCAGCTAAGCAATTTAGCATTATCTATCCTCCGTGAAAACCTATCATTATAATGAAAGGGTCTCTTAACCCTAATAAGGCCGGGGGCCATTATGGCCCCCCTACTCCACGATTTTTCTGATTGTTCGCATATGGATGGCGCCCCGCCGCCCGCTGACTTTTTTCTTTAGAGTCTTGCGCATCTTTTAAAATAATTGTTTTGAAAATCGGACCTAGAGTTACAAGGTCACGTGACCTGTTGTCTTTGCATGTCAGCCCGAAAATTGATAATTTTCTTGATTTGTGTACAAAACATATTGAAATGTCATATTTCCTATAAAAAAATAGATCAAACATTGGTTATCGGGTCTTGTTTAAAGTTTAGGTGGTTGTTTTGAGAGTCAAAATAGTTGATTTGTAGTTAGAAATGAAATAAAACAACAAAAACAATAAAAACAAAAAAATACATAAAGTTAAAAAAACAGTGAAATACATAAGAAATTATCAAAACAAGAGATAACATGAGAAATAAGCTGGCTCTTCCAAATGTTTTGTCCTATTATTATTCCAAATGGTCTAATGAATATATGTAGTGAAAAAGAATGCTTAAATATGAATAATATATGATTTATGGGTAAGAATGTAAAAATTGTATGACCTTATTTGCATAAATTACCATAAATATGCAAATCAGTGATTTTTTCAAAAAAATTGAAATAATCATAGTATTCTATACACTTCACTTGACATGCGTGCAAATTTTCGCGGAGATCGGCCGTTTCACAGCCGAGATCTAAAGGGGGCCATAATGCCCCCCCCCCCCCGGTCCGGCCGTACCAAGACCTCAAATAGCCCGGGTTTTTTTTAGGGCTAACAAGTTGCACGTTTATACACAAATACCAGAGACATTCAATCCCTGCAAATAACACGAATAAAGCATCATTCTTCCCATCTACCATCATTGAATGGAACCATTTAGACGAAACCACCATAAACTCCACATCAACCAGCACACTCAGGAAGGCCATTGACAGAGCCTTCTATGTACCCCCGCGCCCTCTCTCTCTCTACCGATGCGTTTGTGCCCAGTAGGGCCCTGCATCGTACACATCCAGATCCAGATCAATAATAAACGGGCGCGGGCGAGAACGATTTGGGCGTTGGCTACATGGTCTCCGACAAAACAAAATGTAACTGCCTGAAAATAACATCTACAGCTACAAAGAACGCATGAAATATAAGAAATCATGAAATGGTTACTCAACTAGTTTAAATATCTGTTCACAAAATAGACACCAGTACACGGGCGACTTACAGAGAATGTGAAATGTTACAACACACTTACCCGCACAGTCAGAAAAAGGTGGACTCAGTTTGTTCAGCTCCGTACTTCCTGAATGAAATTCGAAGTCGATGTGCACAGTGTGTTGAAGAGCTTTACCTCTCCGCCTGAGCGAAGACCTTGTCAGACGATTTATGTGTGTGGAGTTTGGAGATTGCCGGACCTCTTTCTTATTGTATTTTGTACGGAATCCAGCGGCATACAAGAGAAGGCCCGCACAGAGGTAGCTCATGCATGCAGTCTCTACCTTCAAGGATTGGCTAAATACCAGGTCCATGATATAAGGGAGTTTACAGATACAATCTGCGCATGGGCAGATAAAGGTCATTTGTACTAAAAAAGTAAAACCCACCAGAGATGAATACTGGATATGTGCTCATGAAATTTATGTAACATTATTCATTTATGCACCAACGGTACATTCTAAGATACGCAGGTGGAAGTATTCTTTTCAAGAGGGCAAACAAAAGGTATTCATGAAGCACATCTAGGACTTTGGCAGTTATTCTAAGATGCTCAAAGTGGAACTTCTCCATGTGTAAAAGATCGGTGGATATTTTGGGTCATTTGTACCATGTGCTATCTGTAAACTCCCTTATTACTGTCCAATGGTTTATTAGAGCATAATAATAATAATAATAATAACAGGAAAAATGTATCTAGCGCTTGTGACATAAACGTTTCAAAGCGCTGTACACAAATCAAAATTACTTCGAGAAAATCAATATTTCTAATAGAATTAACATTACTCAAATTACCATGAAAACAAAATATTACTAACACAACTTAACAAAGGTTAAATTCCGACAGCATTTGAAAGATAATACTAATTTAGAACTTCCCTAAAAAAGGGCGCTTGAAAATGTCTTTGAGTGGGAAAATAACGACTATTAGTTGTTGATTTCGACTTAAGAGCTATAGAGCCAGTAAGTAATAGTCTGATTTTCAGACCTTTGTACGTTTTATGCTGCGCAAAGTTTCAATCAGATTAATTTTGGCCATTACAAGAAGTGGGTTATTGATGTAGACAAATGCTCATGTACCTCATTTTATGTATGTTATTACCAAAGAAGAAAAAAGCAGGCCAGTCACTAAATTGTGTCTGACAGTTATGTCTAGCAAGTAAACGGGTTTTCTTGCATAATTTGAATAGTAGGACACTGCTAACGTTTAAATTTCACAAGTTCATTTTATTTCCATTTCTCGTATAAAAATACATTTAACAATACATTATACATATAAGCAAATATATAAATATAAATAATACAAAGAATATGGAGGAGCCAGCAGAGGCCATTGGCCTTTCAAAGGCTGGGCTCCAGTGTCCTCAGATAATAATACAAAGTACAGAGAAAAGAAACAATGGGTAGTAAATAAATAAACAAATGAGTACAGGCTAATTAAATTAAACGATAGGACTTCCTTCATTAAATAGTTCTTGTATTTACGTTTAAATGAGGCAACAGATGGGCACATTTTTATATCGGTAGGTATATCGGTAGGTATTGCATTATTGCTAGGACAAACATGACACATTCATAATTCCTACAAAGTTCTACATAATTCGATGTTGGCTGCATAAGGGACATAGTATCTTTAAATTACCAAGAAGATCACTAATATTACTTTACAAATTAACATTACTTAAATTACCAAGAAGATCAAATATTATTAACATAACTAACGAAGTTCACAAAACATGTAAATTCCTTGGAAATTAACATATTATATCATTATATCAATAAAAGCAATAATTAAAAAAGACATAATGAAGGCATTGTAATATAATTCGAACTTATTGTATAGTTATTTGGGTTGTTTTTGGAATAGATGAGTTTTTAGATTCTTTTTGAAAATGTCAATGGTGGGTAACTCCCGGATATGGGCGGGGAGAGTGTTCCAAAGAGTGGGGGCACAGACTGAGATAAGGCCCTGTCACCATAGAGCATGCTTGGTAGGTCCCTGATTAGAGCGAATGAGATGAGAAGTAAAGATGTCTTGATGCACCAAAGGGCTTCAATAAATCAGGATCGAGTTGTGAGTTTAAACTCACAACTCCCTGCTTAAATAGACCATTTTCGTAATGTAATCAAATTTAATGCACGTTACATATTATTCGATATTATTTTATTAACCTGTTACAGATAATTGTATTTCAATAGTCATAATGCGAATTGCATACATTAATTGTGGTTAGGTATGAAGTATGCATTTAATTTGATTACATTATGAAAAATGGATTATTTGTATACCTGAAACAGGGTATGTGATAAGACTACAACAGTGATACTAGCAGGGAACTTTTCTTTTGCTCTCTCTCTCTGTCGCATGACGCAGCAGGGTCGTAGCCAAAGTTTGATGTTTTGGGGGGCATATACATGTAATCGATCGACGTCCTGGGGAGGCGTCTAAAAAAGTTCAACCAATCCCCCCCCCCCCCCCCCCCCCTCCTTGGCTACGTGCCTGTGACGCAGACCCCAAAGAATCTTTCAAGTTAGTTCCCTCTAGACTCTAGAGCTTCCCACTTGTTGATGAGGCAAATTTGAGGGGGAGGGGTAAGAAATGGGTATTAGAGAGAGAGAGAGGGGTTGAAAGATTATTGACCGAGACAGAGGGAGAAAAGGAAAAAAGGTAATAAGTAACATGGGCCATAACATAGGGGTGACAATTTGGAGAGAAAGAGAGAGAGGGGGACAAAGAGGGAGAGAGCCAGAGACAGAGACAGACATACATACAGAGGGAGAGAGAGAGAAAAAAAAAAGAGAATGAGAGAGAGAATGAGAAAGACATGCATAGAGAGACAAAGCGAGACATACATACAGAGGGAGAGAGAGAGAGAGAGAGAATGAGAGCGAGAATAAGAGAGACATGCATAGACAGACAGAGAGAGACATACATACAGAGGGAGAGAGAGAGAGAGAATGAGAGCGAGAATGAGAGAGACATGCAGAGAGAGAGAGAGAGAGATACATACAGAGGGAGATAGAGATAGAGAGAGAGAGAATGAGAGCGGTAGTAGCAGGAACATTAATAGGGACTTTTAGATTTACACGACGAGAACGTGGACCGCCACGTGTGACATCCTTAACACAATGTCACACGCGGTAGTCCACGCTCTCGTCGTGTAAATCTAAAAGTCCCTAATAGTTGACAAGATTTCAGGATTTTTTTTTGAGGGGGTGTCAAACAACACCCACACGTTCCAGCTATGTCTACCTCAGGCTCTTAAAGGCTTTGTCTTCTGCATTCCAATGGCGTATCGAAAATCACAAAAATCTTTTTGTTTTCTTCTGCCAGCCTAATTTTGCAGTGACTTATTGAAGATGAGGTCAATTAAAACTACTTCCTAGTTTCTCCATAGACGTGGTTTCTCGCCCGCCCTTCCTTTTTTCGGCCCGCCTCAATTTCTCCTTCAGTTGGTATATGTGATATTTTGGTTTGAAATGAAAAAAGATATGAATCTCAGGAGAGTAATGACATGACAGGACATAAATCAATAATGTAATGCAATTTCACCCTACTTAGATTCCCTGAAGTGCATGTACAAATTAAATGAAATTTACGTTTTACTTTTTATGTGTGGGCACTGTGTACTGCTCGTATTATCAGACGAGTAGTAGCGAAAAGTAATTATCATTACAAAAGCATATTTACCTTTGAAAGTGGCCCGTTAGTTTGCAGCTATTTAGGCAGGAATTTTGCCTACGTATCTGCAAGGAAAATCCAGTTAAGCACACTCCTGACATATTTTCTCCTGGCGGCATCGAAGATGGTACAAAGGGAATGAGCTAGATACATGTATGACTCCAGCTCTTAAAACTCCTTGGTTTTACAAACATATTCATATTCATGGTGTTTCTTTCCTGTGGACCTAGTGACGAGTTATTTCATTAACCTGTTATTAATGAATGAACTGAATTACTTGGAATCCAGTCGCATACATTGCGTGTTGCTATGTCGGGCAAGCCTTGGACAAGATTTGATGTTGTCAAGAACTACCTTTGTTTACACATCTACATCTTTGTGGGAATAATACATAACCGTGTCGTCGGCATAAAAGTGCAAATTGCATTTCGTGAAAGACCTAGGCAGATCGTTTATAAAAACTAAAAATAGCAGTGGCCCCAGTATTGAGCCCTGAGGTACGCCGTAATCAAGGGATAATTCTTCTGACAATGTGGTTCCATGACACATGCTCCGCCGACGATTGCTCCGCCGACATTTACTCCGCAAAACGCGACAATTGCTCCGCGACATTTGCTCCGCGACATTTGCTCCGACGTCAAATGCTCCGCCGACAGGTGCTCCGCCGACAGATGCTCCGCCGACAATTGCTCCGCCGACAATTGCTCCGCCGACAATTGCTCCGCCGTCACTTGCTCCGCAAAACGCGACAATTGCTCCGCCGACATTTGCTCCGCCGACATTTGCTCCGCCTGAAGCGACACTTGCTCCGCCGACATTTGCTCCGCCGACATTTGCTCCGCCGACAATGCTCCGCCGACAATTGCTCCGCCTGAAGCGACAATTGCTCCGGTGACATTTGCTCCGCCGACATTTGCTCCGCCTGAAGCGACACTTGCTCCGCCGACATTTGCTCCGCCGACAATTGCTTCGCCTGAATCGACAATTGCTCCGGTGACATTTGCTCCGCCGATAATTGCTCCGCCGACAATTGCTCCGCCGACAATTGCTTCGCCTGAATCGACAATTGCTCCGGTGACATTTGCTCCGCCGATAATTGCTCCGCCGACAATTGCTCCGCCGACATTTGCTCCGCTCAAAAATTGCCCGGTAAAATACAAAGGCTACTACGACAATTGTTGCTCCTCCCCAAAAGTACCCCTTAAAAGACAATGCTCCGCCAACAATAAAATTGCTCTCCGATCCAAAAGTGCGGCCTCTTGGAAGATATGAATGCTCCTCTGGTAATTAGTGCAATAAATGCTCAGCCGTTTTTTGCTATTCCCCATGTTTGATTAAAAAGAGAAAATCAAGTTATAGCTCCTTTATAAAAATTATGCAAGTTCTCCGGCGAAAGATAATTACTCCGCCCAAAATCTGTTTCATGTATTACTCATTAGCTGATCCAAAGCTCAAGGCTATCTCTCTCTCTTTCTCTCTTGCTCCTCCTTTTCCTTTTTACACCCTTTTCTTGTCTTCTTGGCTCTTTTCTTTCCTCTCATGCTATTAGTCTTTTTTAAATTTCATCACTTCTTCTCTTCTCCCCCTCTCGAGTTCTATTTCTCTCGTGAAATTGTAACGTAATGTAGTACATTCTTGTTTAGAATAGTATTTTCAATAATATCCAGTCCGTTTTCTATAGGTTTCTTTCCTTCAGTTAAGTGTATGTAGCTTTACTATAATTATATATATATATATATATATATATATATATTAGTGTGTAAAACACCCCGTCTCATTCGAGTACTTTGTTTTCACTGACTTTAAGGGACTCACGGAGCCACCGGAAGAAGAGCAATTGGCTTATTATGAAGAACTAACATCAAACTGCAATAGAATGATTTGTATAAATGGGAATAAGCAGAAAGGCTAAGAACTAAACCATAAAGATAATAACAGTGTTATTCATTTTCTTTATTCTTATCGTTTCAAATAATAATTACAAAAACTTACATCACATATTCAACCAAACAATTTCATGATGCAGATATGTTATATCATAAGTTACTATCATTTCCTGAAAGAACTTTTTTCAAAATTATCTTCATATTGTTTCAACCTAATTCTTCTACAAACTGTATAGGCCTAATTTTCATGACCGTCACATCATTTTCTACTCGGTTTATCTTCTTCTTATCTCAATTCCAATCAATTTTTTATTGGAGTTCTGGTCATCCAATTACATTTCGAAATAAACCGTTTCAAAGCATTATGAAAGTAGATTAGGTGTACATAAACAATATTTAGGGATTATCGAATCGATAATTTTGCACACGAAAGTCCGCCTCAGGCGCTTGCGCTGCATGCATAAACGAGTAGTACTACAAGGGACCAAACTCAATTTGTTCTGGCATGAATGTTCAGCCCGAATCCAGCCATTTCTTGACATTACTAAATATACATGATAAAGGCCTTTGACGAGCAACCCCCTTTCAGGGAACCTTTAAAAAAAGTTATGACATTCTTCCTAACTCAGAAGGGGGGAAAATGCGAAAACACACAAAAAAATCCTTTTCCCAAAACTTAAGGTTGTTTTTAACCAGTTTTTTTTTGGATATGCATTATTATGCAAGTACAAAGTAGGCCTATTTATGCGTCATTCCGAATTGTCTCCAAAACTAGGCAACACGCAAAAAGAACAGACATCCGAGATATTGATCAAAGAATCTTTTAAAAACCAAACTCGAAAACAAGAGGATTGAGCACCATACAATTAATACAATTAACATATCAAAGAATCTATGCTGATATTGCAAATATGTTCAAAAAGGATAAGAAACATTTCTCTTACTCCTGTTAACCGAACAATTGCCAAAACACTCTCAAATGGTATGCAACAGGCAGCATTATAACATAAAAACAATCCTACATATCAATTGTTGGATGGTAAATATCCTTAATAACAATCTAACAAATTACAGCTCAAACAGGAAACGTACATTCGTCGAACTGCTCTAAAATAGAAAGATTGCAAAATAAGCTTTTAAATTTAATAGGCACCGTTAAACGGGGTGGATGAGAAAAACAAATGAAAACATGTTTTGGGTAATTTGTTTTCTTGATTATTACCCACATATTTCCAGCTTCCTGGCTATGACTATCATGCTGTGAATCATCATTCAAGTAATATATCCTCTCGGAGGGAATATGTACATTGCTTTAATGTTCTGAGATATGTCTACAATTTCTTTCTCTTGACCTTCTAGATAATGATCTGATTTACATGAAGACCTCACAAGTATGGTGTTTCATAACATTCCTGAGGAAGAAAATGATTGCATTTTGAAAGGGTTATAATTTGTTTTCCCTTTAAATAATCTTCTTTTTGGGGGGGGGGGGGAATAACCGCAAGATTATTCAAACTGTCATATGATTACATCTTATGGTAACTCTTCAAGATATAAGAAAAACTTATGGTGAAAGAACAAAGAAAATGTCTAAAATAAAAACCTCGATTTACTCCCAAATAGCTAAAGTGGATTTAGGTCCTTTTGCAAGAAAACTCTTCATATTCTTGGCGTATAACATACCTACATCAAGGGATTATACAGCTCCACACTACTAAGTACAATTATACTGATATTGCAAATGGCTATATATTATGGAGGTATTAAACAACTGGTAAGCCGGAGAACATTACTGAACGGCATCTCCAGAACAGACATTTTCAGGCACCTTAAGAAAACTTAAATAATATCCGGCACACTTCGGCAAACAATATATCATATATTCTCTTACAAAATTAATCCAAAGAGAGTATAGGAATGTTCAGAGTAGAAATATCCAGTGGACATACACGGGATGTAAACTCAACATCAGAATCCTTGTTTACCGAGCTCTTCCCCCACTGTTTACTACCAAATTATGAACAACCTGGATGTTTACGATGCAAAATAAGCATTAATTTTGAAATCAAGTAGCTCTGGAGCCACATCAGAGCATATCAAAACAACAACAACAACAACAGAAAAGTAACATGACCATATACTCCACTTTCATCCACAAGAAATTCCAGTATAGATGAAGAGCGATTTTTTTTTGCAGGTCACATTCATTGGTTGGGTACAAACTATGGTGCCTGCCCATCATGATGCCAAGCTTTATTTATCCTAATGGATGGCCCAATAGCTCTAAGGAACACTTCCATATCTCCATCCGCATCGTATCGCTGGCACAGAACCTTCAGCCTGTGCTGGTGTGCCACATAGCTTCTCCTCTTCCTTCTTTTTACTGGAATTCCCAGCGCAGATTGTTGTAGTTGAGTATCTGTCAATGCCCAATCCTTTCGCAGGGCCGAGAGGAAGGACCAAAAGGGAGGATGAACACGCCCTTAAAAAGGAAAAAATACCAAGCATTATATAGTCTGAATAAACAAAGCAAAACGTAAAGTTCACGGACACCCGAACAAAAATAAAAGTTGATTAAAAGATCGTGAAGACTTGGTTTAAACCAGCATTTTTGAGCTACCTTTTGAAATGTGCAAACTAAAATGATATAACTTGATCTGGAGATCATTTCCATAGGCAATATCATGGGTACTGAAATCACTCTCGACCTTTTACACTCGTCCAGGCGCGTACCCAGGATTTTTTCAAGGGGGGGGGGGGGGTGGGGAGTTTAACATTAATAAATCGGTTTTTTGGGTCTCGAAATTTGACATTTTGCTCCGTTGGGGGGGGGGAGGGTAAGGTCACCTTTTTTAGGTCAGCCATGGGAGTAATTTTTTTTTAAACCTCTGGGGGGGGTTTAGGGGGGTTTACACACATAAAAATACCAAAGGGGGGGTTAAACCCCCCAACCCCCCCCCCCCCCCCCCCCCCCCCCCTGCGTACGCGCCTGCACTCGTCATGCCCTTGGTGTCATCTGATCTCACTTTGTAAATAAATAATATTATGAATGCTTATTGATCCCGATCAATACCTGCATGATGTAGTGATTATATTTTGCGCATATTTAAGTTTCTAACGAATGCAATGTTTAATCCATTATTTCTAAATGATATCTACCAACAAATTATTCTGATTAATAGATAACAAAAGGAAAACAATTTTTCTTTTTCTATGAATGGGCGCAAAAAGAAAGCATATTGACAATATTGCGATCGGAAAGTTCGATGTCGTAACGCACCGCGCTACAACTAAAACAAATGTATTCTAGAACGAGTTCGAACTTCGCGCACATCAGCTTATAATTACAAATAATTTATCTCAATATAGAGATCCAATAAAGGTAAGAGGGAAAAAAAGAGAGGGAAGGGAAAGAAAAGAAAAAAGAAAAGGAAAAGAAAAGAAAGAAAGGAAAGAAAGGAAAAGAAAGGAAAGAAAAGAGAAGAAAGAAAAAGAAAAAGAAAAAGAAAAAGAGGGAGGAGAGGAAAGAAAGAAAAGAAAGAAAACGAAAAAAAAAAAAAAAAAAGAGAGAAAAGGGAAACAAAAGAAACGGGGGGTGAAAGAGAAGAGAGAGAAGGGAGGTAAGAGCCTGAGAGAGGAGGAGTGGGTGTAAAAGAGAGAGGGGGTTGTTGGGTTGTCTGAGTCGTCTCGTCGAGGGAGCAAGAAAGACACGGGTAAATATGTTGCTGTGTCGGGTCAGCTGTGTCGGTATTCTTGCTCAATCCTCGTGTAGGCCTACTATATCAATGCAGAAGTTTGAAGTCGGTGAGATGTATATTGTCGGTCGGCCGACAAGTTTTTTCCCCTTCGAACTCTGACTGTTTATCCGCTGTGTCGACTTCGAGAGGGACTACAACTACAATACTTGTATTTTCTCGAAGTTTCACTTTCCTATAATATCAGCTAAAGAAATCAGAGGTTTAAAATTTTCGGGGAAACTAATTTCAAACAAGGATTAAGAGTCAACAACGGTACGAAGAATCGTCTTCCTTTCTCTATATTTTGATGAAACGCCAAAAATTCCGCGCTTCGATCGGGGGTGGGGGGGGGGAACTTCATTTAGACGAATCGAAAACGGTACAACGAATCATCTGCTTTCTCTGATAATTTAAGGAAACGTCAAAGCTTCCGCGCTTCGCGCAAGAGGGAGAAACTTCATTCAGATAAATAGGGCTTATTAAGAGTGTCACGTGAGAGACTTTTTTTTGTTTTTTATTATTGCTACGGACACTCAGAATAAAGGGAAATAGAGCTTGTTAATTAAAGTTAAATTGTAACGTTTAATTTCTAATCATTTCTCCTGTTTCACACACTTTGTTTTGGCTTCAATAATAATACAGTATGTAATTAAACTTATCTTTAACAAAATAATTCTGGATGGGTAGTTTCCCGTCTGACATCGACGCCGGTCACAGCTCGTGTCGTCCACTTGGCCCTGGCCTCCGCAGACGGCGTCTTTGCTCCACTTGGCCCCGGTAGTCGCTCCGGATTCTTGACCTCCGCAGACTGAGATACGATGGTGTGCGTCCTGATCCCAGACAAGAGCTAGCCCCCGACGAAAGCTATGGAGAACCGGGTGGCAGTTGAGCTAGCCTCTCGTCCCGACGTGGAATTACCCTCAGATATTGACTTTAATTGCCGACTTCTAACATGACGTTAAGTCTATTATAGCTTAGGTGGTTCTCCTCGATTGCAGAAAATCCACCTCTTAATACACTATGAACATGACAGACAATGAAAGCGGACAAAATATACAGTTCCTCAGGTAAACAAAGGGACATCCCTTCACTGCTATTATGTAAAAATGTGTAGAACAGGTGTCACATGCATATTCACCTGTTCTACACATTTTACATAATAGCAGTGAAGGGATGTTCCTTTGTCTACCTGAGGAACTGTATATTTGTCCGCTTTCATTGTCTGTCATGTTCATAGTGATATACCCTACGGTTACTAAGTAAATTCTAAAAACATGACTACAAATATTTGGAGAGGAAATGATCTTACAAAGGAAAATACTTGTATTGAAAAGAGGCTTCCTAAATGTGTGCTAAACAACAGATAAAACATGTACACTGAATTAATGACTTCCCCCAGGCCTATTCATAGGGAACAATACATCTTGGCCTGAAAAGAAAACATCTGACCTTAACATCTTCACCTGACCTTAACAAAGAACACTCCAGACCAAAGAGCGAAACAAATAAATTTCTTTCCTGACAAAGAGTCGAAAACGGTGCAACGAATCGTCTTCTTTCTCTAATAATTTAATGAAACGTCAAAACTTCCGCGCTTCGCGGGAGAACTGAATTCAGATAAGGATTAAGAGTCGAGAACAGTACACCGAATCGTCTTCTTTTCCTAATAATTTAAGGTAACGTCTAAGCTTCCGCGCTTTGCGCGGGAGGCCTACCACCCACACCCCCTAATGAGCGCGCAAAGGTGATTCGCTTACTCACCAGCGCCCCTCCCTAAAATAAGATCCTAGCTCCGCGCCTGCATTAAAATATATAGCTATGATGCTGACTAAGTTGACAAAATCATTCGTATATTTATGTCGTCGAGGAAAATGACCATTTGCGCATATGCAAGTACTATAGATAATCCATAGGAAAAACAATTTAGCCTTCGGCCCCGGGTCTATAGCGCTAAATTTGTAGATATTGGGACATTTAATTTTGTCGGTAATTGGTGGCTAGTTTTGTCGGTAATCGTTGGCCTCTACACACCCCCCCCCCCCCCCCACTGAAAAAGGTCTAGCGACGCCCCTGAGGGCAACTGCATGAATATCAAGGCAAAATACCATAGAATAAGGGAGTTTACAGAAACAATCTGCGCATGGGTAGATAAAGGTCATTTGTACCAAAATGGTAAAACCCACAGAGATGAATACTGGAAATGCGCTCAAGAAAGTTATGTAATATTATTCATTTATGCAACAACGGTACATTCTATGATACGCAGGTGGAAGTATTCTTTTCAAGAGGTCAAACAAAAGGTATTCATGAAGCACATCTAGGACTTTGCAGTTATTATTCTAAGATGCTCAAAGTGGAACTTCTCCATGTGTAAACGATCTGTGGATATTTGGGGTCATTTGTACCATGTGATATCTGTAAACTCCCTTATTATTTGATACTTTGATTTTGATTACAAGTTTCATGACATCTTCTTTCATGCTTATGTTCATGCTCATGGTCATGCTCATGTCTTTCCCATTTTCAAATAAAATTGCGTCCTGAGGTAATTCTGCGTGCGTCCTGAGGTAATTCTGCGTTCCTCTATCCATTGGTGCTATTTGGTTTTGAAATAATTTCTAGGTTTTGAGATATACCTTGTGCATGAATATTTATCTAATTGACACGTTATAATGTGCATTGCATAGAATTTTAATTTAGGGAAATAAAAGCTACATACCGATGAGATTACGGAAGGCATTGTTCCACCCTTCGCACACATTGTTAGTCCTATCCCCATCATGGATAGTGATTTGGTGGACGTTCCAGTCTTGGGGGGGGGGGGGAATCGTGGCGGTGTTAAGTGTCCGTCCGCTCTTAACGTCCCGGTGACATATGTCCTGTCGAAGTAATCTACCACAGGCTGAAGGGCAGGGGTGGGCATGATGCGCCTTAGGAATTCCATTCCTCTCACCACGTCTTGAGGAGGTAGGAAGGCCAAACCGTCCATCATCCCAAGGTAGGTGCGGACTCCCTCATCTGTTGACAAGATATGAACAAACATTTCTCATTTATAAGCAAATTACAGTACTGCTTTGTGACTTGAACTTAGAAGACAATCCAATATTTTGTTACTCATCTAGTTGATTTGTCTTCAAGTTGAAAAAGAGAGGAGGGAATGGTAAAGGTTGTAATACTTGAAAGGTTCAGACATTTAACAAAAATATGATAATATACAATGGTCTCTCAATTTAGTTTCTTAATTGTGATATGTAAAGTATGGCCAGATCCCAGTTGTTATACATGTACACTAAACATATATTCTTTATCTTAAGATTCTTTTCCCAAGAGTCAGAACTAAAACTTCATCATTGATAACACATTGTAACTGACAGGCCTAGGACCTACTTTTCCCCATAATTTCGAAGAGGGAACTTTGTGTTAAGTTTTTATATGCATGCGCCCCCCCCCCCCCCCCCCCCCCAAAAAAAAAAAAAAAAAAAAAAAACGTGAGAGCACATTGGAAGAGAAGGAGCAGCCAAGGAACATTAACAAACCGAAACATGACAAGAAACGTCAAGCTTCACCTCCCAAAAGCTGCCCTATTACAATATCGCAACTTTGTGAACGTGTCTGCTGTGAACGTGAATGTTTACCTTGCAAATATAACCCTCTGAGGCCATTGTCAGCTACCCTCTTCCAAGTTCGTTGGGTGAGATGGAAAAAACATCCGTGTAGCTGAACTGCATTTCCCAAACAAAACTGGACCGCACTCCTAGCGGCCTCTTCAAAATCGGTCACGATTGTCCTAGGTGCGTGTGCATCATGCCCTCTATCAATGAGGGCTTCCATCAGAGCATTGAAGAGCCTGATATAAAGAGCCCGAGTCTTTCCTGACATCAGTGCATAAACACAAGATACTGCGCCTTCGTCAACTTCTGCTCTGATGCAGTATACCTGCAATTTTAATGAAAATGGACTTCATTTTATAAACAATACATGAAAATGGAGTCGAGGAATAATTATGAGAAAACTAGTGAGCATGACACAGATTGTAAGAATTTATACTGGTGTTCATAATGTACACGTGTACAGGCGCCGTGTTAATATGGTCATAGCTGGAGGGTAGGGGGGGGGGCAAACATTCCTGGGGACCTCAACAAATTATTACTACCAGCATACAGCCCTAGCCCCCTCCGAACAAGCATATTTTTTCCCATCTTTATATGTTATAAGTGCAAGGTCTAGAATTTTCTTTAAATAAATACAAAAAAGGAAAGTAGCTTCACGAGGCAAAGTAGACCTATTAACACTCCACATAACAGATTACAATACTAAAACGTAGGAGGGGTATGAATATAGCAAGGAATAAAGAAAAACATTTGAAGAGTTTTTCTCCCTTTTTTCATTTCCCCCATTCTCCCCTTCTGTCTTTGAACCCTCCCCCCCCCCCGCCCGTCTCCCCACTTGTGTGTCCGTCATGGAATATCAACTTTTGAATGACATGTGGTAATTAATCTGTATTAATCTTGTGTTAATATTTTCTTCGTATAGTGCATCTTCCTCTTTCTCACAAATGCCCTCTTCACCTTCTGATAAGTGCCCCTTTTAAGCTGAGATAAAAGCCCTATTTCGTCTGATTACTTTCCGTTCTTACAGTGCCACTTTTCACCACCGAATAGTTCATCTTTCGAAGTGCCCCCTAATATGATCTGTGAACCCTTTTCCTTTCTGATATTATTTTCCCTTTTGATAATTTCCCCTTTTTCCCTATATATCCCGATGTCAAATTGTGCTCTAGAGTAAACAAAGGAGGCGACCACCTCCAGATGACTAGATAGGCTTGATAACAGATTCCCCTACTAGAATCAGCACAAAGTGCAGCAGTGGAGCAGGGCGCAGTCCTGAGTAGAAAGGACACAATACCCTAGACTATACCACAGGGGCGGCAATTTCTTTTCATGACCAGGAGAACGAAATGCGAGGGACGAGGGAACAGTGGCGTAATGAGCAAAAACGTTTGGGGTGAGAAGAACAAAATCCGCACCACCTTCACCCTTACATTTTACGCAGGCCCTGGGAACGTTTTTCCAAGTGGGAGGGGTGAGGGGTGCTAAAGTATTTACGATCAGGTAGAGCAAAACAAAGCAAAGTGGAGCGTACATTGGGTGTCAAGGGGCAGAACCTCAAGAAGCTCAGCGGATTTAGGCATTTGTTAAGGTCAGATGAGCATATTTTAATAGCTTATTTGTGACACTGGCATGGAGGTCACTTATTGGAGTGTGGTCCATGGGGCGGAGCCCCCAGAAGCTCAGGGGTTTTAGGCATTAAATTATGATCAGGGCCGCCTTAGGGCCCTTAGTGGGGTCCAGGGGGCAGAGCTCCCGAAAGCTCAGGGAAAAATCATGCCATTTCAACAACATTTGTAAATCACTGGTATCGAATTAAAAATAAACTACGTTATAATTTAATTTCGGGGACAACTGCGACAAGTGCGAGGGAGCATAGTGAATGAGAGGTGTGAAGGTGACGGAAGTGACTACCCCCTCACAGGTTTTTGAAGTTTTGTTGTATTAAAAAATTACATTCCTTAGCAAAACTATAGTATAAAAACAAGCAATAAACTTTTTTCACAGTTCAATTTTCTCTGTATTTACTTGTACATTTTGAAGGATATTATGCAAGGGAGCGTAGCTACCGAGTAAGAAGATTTGTGCATTTTTATTTGTCTAAACGCTGCACTCTTGGGCCCTCCAGAGCCTAAAAGTGTGTTGCAGTCTAGTCAGTATTTGCTATACATTTGTTTGTGTGCACTTTTTCAAATTTAAAAAAAATTGAGGGGGTCGTAACTCCCCTCCCCCCGTCCCCCGGGATCGCCGCCCCTGCTATACCATATTTAACAGTGCCCCTAAATCATCAAAGGAGTGTGGAGAAAAAAATAGGTACGTTTTTCCAAAGCTCGCTCGCATTTACTAGATACTATTATCTTATCATATATAAGGCAAATCTTTGTATAACACCATAGCCTTCAGTGTTAGAAAACCTTTAAAAAATAAGCTTGCTCGGTTGGCTCGCAAATTAATATCAGATCATTACCATGCAGATATTTATTTGGAACCATGTGGAGATGACGAAAATGATCCCCGATTAATCAGATGCGGCGATATGATGTCTCAAAGTGGTATTTTCCGCCTTGTTTTCACCCTTTGGAAGTGCCCATGTTAAAAAGTGCCCCTATTTTGGTGCCCCTACACAGACGCTCTGCCGCCCCTGGTCTTGTTTGTTGCTCGGACAGGATGCCAGTATAGACAGATTCGTTTAATAAATCATGGAAATGCAAGCATCACATTACACCAACAGAACTTTTAATATCCCTAGCTCATTTTTTTCCGAATAGGGTGTCATGCGAATACTGATGACAGGGCAGAAAATGAATTCTCTAGAAACATGAGAAACGTGATGATCTCTATGAAATTGAGATATCGTTGGCCGAACGACTTTTAAGTAGCCTGCTTCATTTGGTCTTTATTCACTCTCGTGTGAAGTGTATCAAATGAGAGGCATCAACATGAAAGAAGATGATCCAAGAGTCAGCTGGATACAAGTAATGTGAATAGTCGTAATTATAATCAGAAATGACTGGGATCTAGTCAAAATACGACTAGAATCAGTAAAAAGAAACTGTAGAATAATAGTTGCACCCAGCCGAGGTAGACCCTTTCGGTCTAGTCACAATAGTTTCTCTATTTTTCGCGCCGAAACTTTGACATTTCATTAAAATTATTAGAGAAAGAAGACGATTCATTGTACCGTTCTCGACTTTTAATCCTTGTCTGAATTCAGTCCCCCCCCCCCCCCCCTCCTACGCGTAGCGCGGAAGTTTTGACGTTTCATTAAATCATTAGAGAAAGAAGACAATTCGTTGTACTGTTTTCGAATCTTATTCCTTGTCTGAATTCAGTTTCCCCCTCCCGCGCGGAGCGGAAGCTTTGACGTTTCATTAAATTGTTAAAAGAAAGAAGACGATTCGTTGTACCGACTCTTAATCATTGTCTGAATTTTCAAAAATGTTTCGTTGTCCGACAAAAAGTCACAGTTCTTAGGGAAAGAAAAGCCGGCCGACCGGTATATTACATATCACCGACTTCAATTTTCTGCATTTGTATAGTACACGAGGATCGAGCAACAATACTGACACAGCAACATAATTTTCTATGCGTATCTTTCTTGCTCCCTACGCCGACGCGGCGACTTCACCCAACATCCCCTCTCTTTCTTACTCCCACCCCCGTTTCTTTTGTTTCCTTTGTTTCCCTTTTCTCTTTTTTTTCTTCTTTCTTTTCTTTCTTTTCCTTTCTTTCCTTTCGTTCCTCTTTTTCTTTTTTTCTCTTTCTTTCTTCATTTCTCTTTCCTTTCTTTCTTCTCTTCTCTTTCCTTTCTTTTCTTTCCCTTTCCCTCTCATTTCCCCCTCCCCTTTTCTCATTTTCCCCGACAGCAGCGCAATTTCACCGACAATGTCCTGACAGGGGGGGGGTGTCACACCCCCTCATACCCCTCTCCTTTTAGCGACGCCCCTGGTTAGAGAGGATAGGGCACCGACAATTTTTTTGAGGGGGGGGTATAGAAAGAGTCATGTCTTTGCTTCTTTACTACATGCATGCATACCTGTGTGAAAATAGCGGGTGCTCTGGAAAAGGTGCCATCCATGTACCACGTGCTAGCAACGGCGAGACGTCGTAGTTGGGAATCAGTGGCAAACAATATCAGCCTGTCTTGCCCCGGCCCGGAATCGTAGAGGAGAAAACGCTGTCCTTCTACGTCACCGGTCAGTGTCCATTCGTCAGGAATCTCCAAGGTTTCTTTTGATTCGGGTTCTGCCGGGTATGCAGCTCGTCTGGAAAAAAAGTAAAAGATCAACAGATAAACAATCAAAATTTCTGTCATTTCGCTTGGTGTTTCTAAGTCTAGCTGTATATCAAAATGAGAGAAGGGGAGATTAACATTGTTTTGAGAGAAAGGACATCCATCATAGCGCGGCTATATAAAAAAGTTCAATTCAAATATCATAACCTAGTACAGTATATTAAGTATCTAAACACCTCTGTAGCCCCGCCCCTGACACTCATGATGTTTGCCAAAACAGAACAGGCACGAAACTACATTATACGTAGGATCCCTGATAAATAGTCCTGCTGGTGGGACCTGAACGGGGTGGGTGGGGTATCCCTCCCAAGATGAATCCGTCAAATTAAATTGATATATAAAACTAACATATTAATTCGGCTTATAATGTGATTTTGTATTGTAAATAATGATAATTCTCCATAAAGTGTCAACATTTGTGATTGCTTTAATAATATTAAAAACAACTTTTCATTGAAGGAGATTTTAAAGAGTTTTTAAAGGACGGTGTGTGGTTATCCATCGCCCCAAATGGTAGGGGTGGGGAGTTTAGATGCAGCAGATAAAATTATTTTATTCATACCTCTGTCTTTGGACGTCCCTCCTAAGGGCTGACAGCTGTCCCAACTGCCCTCGAATCTCCGGGTGCGCTACCATGAGGGCGTTAGCAACTGTTTCGGTTGTCGGGCCACTGTTGACATCCCTCGCGGTTCTCTTTAGGCCTGCCCGCGCTGCTATGACCCTTGTTCTATCCTGATCAGGTTCGTGGTTATGGGGCGTCGCCGCCATAACTCCCCCATATTGAGGGGGGCCATTCGTTGTTATTGCCCCACTGCATGCTTCGGATCGTTGTCTCTCGCACTGCCATCTAATTTGTGTCCTTCAAAGCTGATTTTTATCCCTCCCCTGTTGTTTTCTAGAACTTCCATGATGAACTAGTACATTGTATAATGCTTTACTTGCAGATGGTTTACCTAGTAAGATGCATGTGCTTGCTTGCATTGAGGTTATTTCAGCTCTTACATATTGATGAGCTGTTTGAAATTAACTAGGAGGTATGCGCGTATTGAGGAATGTGGCTTGCTGCTCTACTTTTTTTTTAAAACTTCCCACGACATGTAATGAGTGTTTAGTGTACATTATATCGGACGTACAGTGATAGATGGAAAGTTATTTCAGTATATTCGAAATAACTTTTAGGTAACTGCTTTTTCCTCCCACATTCATTCATTTCATTTCATCTACATTATTTCATGAAATGCATTCAGAAAATGAAGAAGAAAAAAAAAAGGAAAATAACCCGTGTAAAAAAAATATTGTCGGCGAAGCATTTGTCGTAGTACTAGTAGCATTTGTAGTTTGGAACACTTTTTGGGCGGAGCAAATGTCGTCGGAGCAAATGTCACCGGAGCAATTGTCGCTTCAGGCGGAGCAATTGTCGGCGGAGCAAATGTCGGCGGAGCAATTGTCGCTTCAGGCGGAGCAATTGTCGGCGGAGCAATTGTCGGCGGAGCAAATGTCGGCGGAGCAAATGTCGGCGGAGCAATTGTCGGCGGAGCAATTGTCGGCGGAGCATCTGTCGGCGGAGCAATTGTCGGCGGAGCAACTGTCGGCGGAGCAACTGTCGGCGGAGCATTTGACGTCGGAGCAAATGTCGCGGAGCAAATGTCGCGGAGCAATTGTCGCGTTTTGCGGAGTAAATGTCGGCGGAGCAATCGTCGGCGGAGCATGTGTCGGGTTACCGACAATGTTTGTCCTATGGAAGTAGTCTAATACGTCTTTTCATTAGATAATTCTGAAACCATATTAATGAGGTACCTTGTACTCCAATATCAGAAAGTTTTTTAATTAGAATTTGGTGATTGACAGTATCGAATGCCTTATGTAAATCGACAAAGACACACCCAATATATTTCCCTTGATCAACTGCTTCAAGCCATTCATCAGTTACTTTAATAACTGCAGTAGTTGTGGAATGTTTCGATCTAAAGCCCGATTGCTCCTTCACTAATACATCATTGAGGCTGTTCACACCGCAATGAGATAGCGCGGTCTATCGTAGCACCCCTTTTTTCTAGCGCGCGCTAGAAAAAAGGGGGTGCCGATAGACCGCGCTATCTCATTGCGGTGTGAACAGCCTCTAAGAGGCTGTTCACACCGCAACAGCCTCTAAGAGGCTGTTCACACCGCAATGAGATAGCGCGGTCTATCGTAGCACCCCTTTTTTTCAGCGCGCGCTAGACCGCGCTATCTCTCGTGGACCACCCTCAAGAGGTGCTCCAGTGGCACGCCGTTTTGGCTCGCCGTGGCTCGCTGTTGGGCGGACCGAAACGACGTTGTACCTTCCAAACCGCAGAGATAGCGCGGTCTAGCGCGCGCTATCTCTGCCGGTGTGAACAGCCTCTAAGAGGCTGTTCACACCGCCAGAGAGAGCGCTCGCTAGACCGCGCTATCTCTGCGGTGTGGGAGGTACAACGTCGTTTTGGTCCGCCCAACAGCGAGCCACGGCGAGCCAAAACGGCGTGCCACTGGAGCACCTCTTGAGGGTGGTCCACGAGAGATAGCGCGGTCTAGCGCGCGCTGAAAAAAAGGGGGTGCTACGATAGACCGCGCTATCTCATTGCGGTGTGAACAGCCTCTAAGTCATTCAAGTAATTAAAGATAAACTTGAGTTCTGGTAATGCGATTGCATAGTGAAAGAAAAGGTGTGGAATGGATCAGAAAAGTTGATCATATAGCATGTAAGTAATGGTGTGTAATGCAAGGTTCTGGAGTCATCAAAATCATCATAAATTTGGCAGAGTCTTGGTAAAGTAACAATCACTTACACAGAAAGATGTATATGGGACAACACACATGGTGTTGGGGCTATTACTACCCTGATTTCCTTATCTTTTTATGCTCATTACTCAGCCAGTATACATTTTCTTCCAAAATTGTTTGGCACATGACATTTATTTGTAATCTTGAACATTCAGTGTAGGTTTCGTTAGATTCTGTGAGAATTCATTTTCTTTTTTTACCAGAACTCAAGTTTATCTTTAAGTAATTGTTTTTGAACAACCCTCTCTAAAAGTTTCGAAACACAGGGCAGTAATTATATTGGCCTGTAATTATCTGGCTGACATTTGTCACCTTTTTTGTGCAATGGTATAATTTTTGCAATCTTCCACTGGCAAGGAACTACCCCATCAGTTATTGACTTATTAATAAGGTATGCTATAATTCTAAAGATTTCTGTTGCACAAGTATTCAATATGTAAGAACTGATCCCATCCAAACCAACCGATTTCTTATTCTTTAGGCTGTATATTTCTTTTAACACATCTGCTTCAGAAACTAAAGAAAGCTCAAATAGTGGGGTTTGCATATTATTATCCAGACCTGCCTCGTTACATACATGCGAGACATTAACACCATTACATGCATGTAAGTAGGTATCACAGAAGAGCTGCGTTGAGTGGGGACACACAGAACTCAACCACGCAAATTCTCTCTTTGTGAAGGAAGATTTTCATATCATGGAAGAAAAAAAATATTATAAAATTATATGTCTCTCGAAAGCTCAGGATTCTGTCTTTCATGTCATGTCATTTTCATCAAAATCCATCAATTACTTACGACACAGTTGCTTGAGATTTACCCTCTAATTTGTACCGTCTCACTTCGTTTGTCGCCATTTTTTTTTGACGGCCGATTTGTATCCCTAGTTTTAGCTCAATTCGCTTGAACGCCATTTGTCTTTGAGTTTTAAAAATCCATTGGTTGGGAAGAGCACATCTTGAGCTTTATTTTCATATGAAAACTGATGGGGGTATGTTTAAAAAAGATCGTGAAAAATCAGAGTGAAAAGTTTGAAACAATTTTTCTATATCAGAAAAACATACTTTTAATTCAATTTTGATACGAGAAGAAAGAGAATTTACTGGAGAATACGATCATGTAAATATTAAGAATGACCGCGAAATGGCGCTAGAGCGCGAATCCGATGAGTACAGCTTGTACCCTGAGTAATACGCACTGAGCGGGAGCGAATACAGCGAGCAGGCCCCCAACTTCGCACGGGGAACCGACGCGACGGCCCACGTGGCGCCACGTGTCGCCTCACCGCACCTGCCGCTTGCCGTCCCATCAAGATCCGAAACGGAGCATGAATCTGAGGCTTTAAATATCGAAACTGAGGCAGGATTTGCAGCATTTGGCGAACAAATTAGTAAATACATATATATTTCGACGGAATTATTATGCTAACGTAACCTAAACAGATTTTAAAGCGATCACAAGACCAATAATACATGTTTGTGTTTTTCCACTCGTAATTTTTCTCGCACGTCATGCGAGTGAACTTTGAATTTCAAAGTGACTTTTTAAGAAATTCAAGAACAAACTTGTGTAATCTTTGTCAATTTATAGAGTGAAAATTTAATCAAATTTCGTCAGAAAAAAAATATTTTGTGTGTTTCAATCTAAATCAAATAACTGTAATGACGGCTTTTCTGATCTTTGGAAAATAATTATTAAATTCCAATTAAATTCAGGCAGTGTCTTTTCAGTAATCATATCGGATTGATGCACGTCTGTATGAAAACCCAATGACACACACACACACTCGGTGATAGCTCGGTTTTTAAATTTAAGATCGTGGATTCAATAATGAATTTCAATTAAAAGGGATTTGTTATTATTTTTGTTTATATAGTAAATAAGTTAGGTTGGTCTAAAAAAAATCGTAACGACTCAGCCCACCGCTGAATAACCGGGAGGGGGGGGGGTTAAGAGGGCACTTTTTTTTGGGGGGGGGGGGGTCAAGAAATTTTTAAATTTTTAGATTTGCTACGTTGGGGGGGGGGTAAGGTCACCTTTTGAGGTCAGCCATTGCCATATTTTTTATTTTTTTTTTGGCCGGGGGGGGGGGGCACGTGCCCCCTGTACCCCCCCCCCCCTGGATCCGCCACTGCCATACTTTGTATTGATGTGCCAAAATTCATTCCCCTACCATTAACGGTTTTCAATTTAGGCAGACTTGAAAACACAAAAAAAAGCTTAAAGTTGATACTCTAAGACAATCCCAAATACTGAGATAATTACATAAATAGAAAGCTTTTAACCCCCATAATAACACCAAATGGTGTCCACCCGACAAAACAAGTTTAGAATAATGAATTTATTCGAGTAAACTCTACCAAAATATCTAAGTCTGAAACCCGGAAGTGCACGTAGAGTCGGGCCTCTATCCGTGACGTCACGAACGGGAGTCATGGGCTCAGTGAGAGTGAATGGCAGTGATATCCCTACGTAAATGCTATCCTGTCAGAGCTTAGATTTGTTGTTGTTAAGGAGTATATTTGATGGATTTTCTGTTTTCATTTGAATGAATTATAACGAAGCAACATTTTCCAGTCGCTGATTTCTTTTTATATCCTCATATTCACCTATTTGGTAGAGATTTAAGACGAGTTTACTGCTTAGGAATTAAAGTTAAATCGTGCACTTATGAATAGGCGGATGCATTATATTGTCATCAGATGTACATGAGCAGTTTTGTAAAACGAATAGGTCTAGAACTATGATAGTACTTATCATAGATGTGTGTGACTGCCTCAAAAAAGGATACAGTACCAGTTAAGCATTTTATGTTGTAAAATATCAAACTTGAACGAGATCATGCAAGCGCGCTTCCTCTATAATATTTTGGCGAGTGATGCGGCTCGATCTTGCATGAACGTTCGTGAAGCGAGCAGAATCGGGAGGTAAGACCAAGCCGCTGCTCTAGGCGCTGCTTGCTTGTGATGGAACGTACGTGCGCTAGTTATATGTTTATCGGCAATTGCAAGAGAATGAAAGCGACGTTGCCAGCTAAGAAAAACAACTAACAAAGACTTGCTCCTGACTACCGGTGTCAGAATTGGTAGATGAAGGATGTTCAGGGCCAAGGAAGGCGAAAGACATGGGAAAAAGGAAGAAGAAACCATCGGGAGATCGCTGTATAGTGTATGGTAATGAACTGTGCATGGGTAGACAGCTACTGTTCACTCCGTGCCTGGGCCGATTTCAACACCAAAACAAAAATTACATGGTGAAAATATCGA